TCAGTGCAGAACTGGGGATCAGACAGTGCTGAGTTCAGTTCAGGGCTGAGAGAGGAGTGAATCTGCTGAATTGGGGGATCAGATTGTGATGAGTTCAGTTCAGGGGTGTGAGGAGTGAATTAGCGCAGAACTAGGGATCGGACAGTGCTGAGTACAATACAGGGCTGAGAGAGGAGTGAATCTGTGCTGAATTGGGACTGTCAGTGTACAGTAGGACTCAGACAGAGCTGTGAGACCTGAGCTCACTTCAGAAAGGAGTGAATATGGTCCAATCAGGGCTCAGACAACACTGTGAGAGTGGCAGACCCACTCGGAGGGCATTACTGACTGTCCCGTGTCTTGTATGACTGTTATGGAAAATGAGGTCCCCCAATACCAAACAGAATAATGTGCAACAATGATTGAATTAAAGAGGATCTAATACAGCAATGCTGTCTGTGAGCTTTATTTTTCCACAGTGTGATCAGTCAGAACGAGAGATCAGACTGATCAATATTATCGGCCGTGCTGACCCAAGCTTCATCTGAGGAAGAGAAATGACCATTGAGCAATGAGAGGATTAACCCCCTCAAAATAAGACAAGAAACATCCTCCTCAGACTCAGGAGATGATAAGCTCTTCCTGAAGTGAGGACAGACGGAGGTCCACAGGCACTTATAGACACTATGTGTGGAGGCTCATCCACACACTGGGAAAGCAGACACAAGATGTGGAGGCTCATCCACACACTGGGAAAGCAGACACAAAGTGTGGAGGCTCATCCGCACACTCGGAAAGACACAAAGTGTGGAGGCTCATCCGCACACTGGGAAAGCTGATCCCTCAAGATCCACACGTGGGGCTGAGATTCCCCATGAGGCACCTCATGAGTGTGACAGACTAATCAGCTTCCTGAGAGCCTGACGCTTACAGACAGTGCGTGACCCGCACACTGCACACTAACACACACACGTGTATATGTGCATGGAGAGAAATACATACACACAGATACACAAACACATACACAGACAGACAGAAGGTCACACACACACGGTTACACACAGTCACACACACATACACACAGACAGACAGAAGGTCACACACACATGGTTACACACAGTCACACACACATACACACAGACAAAAGGTCACACACAAACATATACACAGACAGAAGGTCACACATACAGACAGACAGAAGGTCACACACACACACGGTTACACACAGTCACACACACATACGGTCACAAACACACACATGGTTACACACAGTCACACACACATACACACAGACGGTCACAAACACACACATGGTTACACACAGTCACACACGCATACACACAGACGGTTACAAACACAGACACAGGCAGGGGTTTAATCAAAGGTTTCTGCTTTATTCTTGAACTGCATGGACAGTGGGCTCCTTCTCCAGCGTCAGTGTGAGTTGGCGAGAGTGGGGTTGTGTGTTTCGGCGTGGGTCTCAGTATATGAGGGCCTTTCCGTCTCCTCTGGGCTTCTTGATCTTGTCGAAGTTCTTGCTGATGATGTCATAGAGCACTGCCTGCAGGGGGCGAGCCAAGAGGGACATACTCTATTACATCACCACAGCCGCCACATCACCGAAATACGACGCCATTCTTCATGAGATCTGTTCATTCTTCTCAGACCGTGTGCAGTCCCTGGTTTCAGTAGGTGTGGGTGTGTAGTTACCGGGCGCTGTATCAGAGCTGTGTTCAGTAGCCTGTGTATGTCCGTTAACCGTGTGATCAGTCCTCAGTAGAACAGCAGGAATGCTTACAGACGCTGTAATGGATATTTTCCAGCGTTCATGTTTTGTTTTTACCATTTCCCCTGTTATAGGACTGCTGATGTTAATGGCAACCAAGTACTGCACTAGATACAGACAGGACCCAGGGTCAGGGCCGACAGTCCTGGCACTAAGCGTCATTACAGTGAGTCACTGAGGCACAGCGCCCCACAGTGGCTCAGCGGGAGAAATGCAGCTCCCAGGAAAAGAAGTCAAACTGCAGATCTCCAAGAGGCTGATGAATTCATCTAGAGATCAGACAAGAACTTCTGAATGAGAGTCACACTCACATAGGTGTTCCGAACCTCCAGGACCATGATCCGGATCTCACAGTACTGGTTCTGATCCAGCTCGTGTACCAGCTGTCTGTAATCCCCCTGTAACACAAACACAGAGCTAACAACAAAGAGCCCAGCACACAACACAGAGTTAACGCAACACAGAGCCAGCTGCACACAACAAAGAGTTAACACAACACTGAGCACTGCGCACAACAAAGAGTTAATACGACACTGAGCACAGCACACAACACAATTAACACTGCACTGAGCGCAGCACACAGCACAGAGTTAAAAACACTGAGCACAGTACAAAAACAACATGGGACTGTAGCCACAATCCAAACTCAACACAACACTAAGCAAAACACAACAACAAAGACTTAACAGAAAAATGAGAGTGGCACGTAGCAGGTTAACAAGACGACACACAACTTACCACATGCGGCTGTTTGGAGGCCTTAGCTACAGCATCTCCCCTCTCACTGAAATACCTGGAACACACAACACACACTCCACACTGAGAATATCATAATAATCACCTGACACACCTGGAACACACAGCACACAGCACACACTCCACACTGAGCACCTGTACTGACACAGCAGCACACTGGGAATATCATAATAATCACCTGACAGACCTGGAACACACAACACACAGCACACAGCACACACTGAGCACCTGTACTGACACACCAGCACACTGGGAATATCATAATAATCACCTGACACACCTGGAACACACAACACACAACACACAGTACACACTCCACACTGAGAATATCATAATAATCACCTGACACACCTGGAACACACAACACACAGCACACACTCCACACTGAGCACCTGTACTGACACACCAGCACACTGGGAATATAATCAATTAAATTGTACTTTGAGATCTGGGTCTGGAATCCCTCTATTTTAGTGCGCGTGTTGGTCATCAGTTCAAACACCTTCTCCTGCAACACAACAACACAGTGTCAGCACACCAAAAGTATCAGCAGACCAAACCTGTACTGTACATAGGTCTAGAAACATGATATATCCATTCCCACTTTCCTGATACATCTTCCAGTACAGGCTAGCGGGGGGGGCAGAGCCAATCCCAGCAAGCACTGGGCACAAGGCAGGACACACACTGGACAGGACACCAGTCCATCGCACGACACAGACACACAAACACGAATGCAGACACTCACACCAGGGGCAATCTTCCCAGAAGCCAACTCACCTACCAACATGTCTTAGGACTGTGGGGACGAAACTGAAGCACCCAGGAGGAATCCCACACGAACACGGGGAGAACATGCAGACTCCACACAGACAGCACCCCAGGAATTGAACCCAGGGCCCCAGCGCTGTGAGGCAGCAGTGCTCACCACTGTGCCGCCATGCTGCACATTTATACCCACAACCCAAAATCATTACATACACATACAGCCCACACTCTCCAGTGACAATCCAATAAAACACTTTGTGGATCCCACTGTCTCCATCCAAACACACTGCTGATACCGGTTCTGTGCTGACCTGCACTGCCACTCCAAAATTGTTCCCATCCTCTATCTTCGGAACCTGAAGCTGAACCCACATGGATACCTGGATAGAGAGAGGGGTTAATACAGACACACTGACTGGACACTCCAGTACATTAACACTGCACTGAGAGAG